TGCAATCTGATGTACAAATACTGAAACAACATGAAGATTTCAACTACACTTCAATGGTACATCATCAAATTCCTGACCATTACAAAGTTCCTATTACTACAGTAAAACACTGTAAAAATCAAAGTGAAGTTTGATGAAAACCATATACACTTTTTACCAGTTATCTATTTTTCTATTTTAACAAAATAAATAGAATTTATAATATTTTTATATTATATTTCTATAATGTAATTTCTATATGTTTCATATTTGAATTATTATTAGGAGTTTTAAATGATTCAAGTCAAACCTGTAACTTCAACCGAAGATGATTAATTAGGGTGTGGTCCTGTCATAAATTGTACTTTTTCAATTTAGCTTTAAATTTAGATTTTTATAAATTATCATCTGTAACAAATAACAATAATCAATTTCAGATGTAATTTGGGTGTTTTGTACAATTTCTAACAATGTTTTTCTGTAACCTATGAGAAACAATAATCAAATACGCTATTTTAATTGTTAATTATGAATTTAGGGCTATAGACGAATCCGGCGAAACTACCGGAAGTAAGCGGGCGCCATAACTGAGCTGTTGCTGCGCCATTGCCTCCTATTGTTTTAGTTGCAACTTGCGTCCACTGGCCCCCAACAGCCCGCGATTTTTGACTGTCACTAACGTTACAACTTTTATAATGTCGAGTGGGAAAACATGTTCCGTTTTACACAAGGGGGTAATCCATCGACCGGAAGTTGAAGCCCGCCGGGTGCCGCCATGTTGTAGCAGAACTTCACTTGCGTTAGCATTTCCATTGACTCCCATTCATTTTTGCGTCACTTTGACAGCGAATAACTTTACATCTGAGGCGTTTAAAGACTCCATTTGTCCATTATTTATTTCTAAAGAAACACGACAATGTATAAAGGGCTCCATTACCTTCTATGTTACACTATGGCCCCGTAGAAACAGATTTAGTAAAAATAGGCTAACGATTGCGTCATAACCACTCGACTCTCTGTCGCGCTGTACAGAAATTACCGTACAGACAGGAGGAGAAGCTCGCAGGCAATCGGGGGGACGTCCCGTCAAGGGAGAAGCCCATAGATAATGAGTCCATAAAAGCAACGGAATTCTTACTCCTGCTCACTCACGCCAAATAACTCTTTGCTCAAGTTCCCCGTCTCTGCAAGATTAACGTTGGCAGTTTTCACGCACAGCTACTAGAAGATTAACGTCTGTCAGACAGGTTGCTCACGTCATCAAGCTTAGTTTGAGTCGGTCTGAGTCTGCGCGTCAGGAACGGAAGTGCTCAAAAATCGCTAAAAGTGGGCTTCAACTGTCTCAACTGAGTTCCAATGAGATCGCTCTGTCCATTTCTTTTACTGTCTATGGTTTTACATTGTTTCAATGGCGGCAGTAAAGGGCGCATTGGGGCAGTAACGTTAGTAACATTACTGTTATGTCTGTTGTTAATGTTTGATTTGCTTGACTGTGACATAATTTTTTTTTAAATAACAAATTAAATTAAATATAATGCAGTTTATGTTATAATAACAATTATTTAATGACATAAGTAAAAATATAATAAATAGTGCTCAGCAAAATCTCCTCTCTAGCTATTTTTTCTATTCAATTCGCCTTTGGCTAAGCCACACCCTAGAATGTAGATTGACCAATCACAGCGCAGCCAAGAACGAGCTCCCACAGAGGTCCGACACTTTTTCACAGCGCTCCATTGACTTTAACACAGCCGTCTCATATTTTTGGTCTCGGCAGGCTATTACCGTCGTAGTTTTATCAAAAATATGGTTAAACGTTGTGCCTGGGGCATTTGTAACACAGATACGCGTTTCCCAGAGAGGTTGGAGGGGGGTGTGCGTTTATTCCCTTCCCAAAACCGAAGTCAAATCCTGACAACTAAAAGTGTCGTCTAGCACACGCTGCTAATAAATACAACGTTATACTCGCGTAGTCCGTTTGCTTTGTAATAACGATTATAGAAGTGAATAGAGACCTCCAGCTTTGCATGAACAGTGTTGCTCCTTGATATTGTTAGTCCCAGCCTCCGTCTCGATTAGTACGATATGCGGTGGTTCATTTTTTGACTGTGACCGGTATGCATTGCCTCTATTTTGGATGCCTTGTTGTTCCTTGCGTTTCACCTGTATGTCATGAACGTATGCCTTCAAACGTATATCGCAGCCCCTTTTGACTACTTCTATCGGACACTTTATTTGCTGCTTTATAAAAGTTTGATAAAATTTCAGCAGGAAGAGCTGTCACAGCATAAGCCATGTTGATACCAGAGCCCAGATGAAGTTTGTTTGTCGGACGTAGCAACAGTAACTAAGGGGGGCGGGGCCTAGCCAAAGGCGAAATGCTATGGTCATTAGATGGCTTTCCTGAGCTAAATGTAACGTTATGTGACATAATTGTTCTCCTGCTGTTATATTGACCTCTTTCCATGGTTTAAAGACACTAATTGGTCGATATTATGTATACTTTCTAGCTGTACCTTACCCTTGCCTTTTGCAATGTGAAAATGAGATAAATAATGGACACAAATGAAAAAGATGAATTCGTTTATTTGATGTCATTCATTTATTTATTGTTGCCAAATGGACAGATCTTTTTAGTTCCTCGTTAGCTAACGTTAGCCTAGCTAGCTTGCCAAGCTATTTTGATAAATAATCTGTAAAATCGTTTGTACCTTCATCTGTGACTGGAGGCCACTGTCTAACATCATCAACCCAACAAGTCATTCTGCCTGGCTGTAGCTGTCATCGAGGGTTCGTTATCACGGAGGTTTGTTTACATACCGGTAACAGCTCAGTAAGGGTGTCGCCACAAGATGGCAGCCTACACAGAACGCTCGTCGGATTCGTGTACAGGGTTCTGTAATAAATTGATAGTATTTGTAATTTGACCTTTATCAATCTTAGTATATGTTAACAGTAAAGATTTGTCTGGTTTTTTTTATCCACATGCACACCGTTTCATCTTACTTTGCATTTGAATCTAATGATTTTATAATGCCAGTTGTTCATGCTATTTTCTATGTATTTCTTTATTCTTTTTTTATATATATAAATTCAATTGCAACAATATTCTTAAATAAACATCTAAATAGCAAATGTATAAACTAAACGTCTATTCTGATTTAAATATATTCTAATATTTAGCCTACTGTATGATGAACATCAGATCAATTGTCAGTGAAAATGTTGTTTATCTAGTAGAGACACAATCATTTAATTGATTCTCACAGTAAAGTCATCATCACTCTATTATCATACCTTATACTGACCATCACTGAGTTTTACATAAATTGTCTTTCACTCCCGACAACCGCCCACTGGGTCCAGTAGAACTAGCTAATGTGCATTATAAATGTCAGTAATTTATCTTTTTTGACTCATTCTTTTTATTTAAAAAAAATTAAATGCTGAAATATGTGAGGTTTATCTTTTTATAAAACTTTTTTGTCAAAACTTTTATTTGAACTTGTTAGTAGATAACATGGTGCAATACACTCTTGAAATCTCGCCATCATTTTTTAATGTTATTATTTTAATATTTATGTAAACAAAAAGTGCATGTTGATGCTAATTTTATTTGTTAATTGCTAGTTTTCGACATAAAACTTGTTGAATTGATTTCTGTGAAACTTAACTGAACGCCAGCATCAGTTGTGCGCTCGGTTATTTTTGTCATTGATTTATCGCCATAAGTTCACGGAGATCATGAAAGTGCGCCTGATTGTTTTATTCTATTTTACAAAAGCACAACGTTTTCTTGTTTTTGTGAGTTTGCGCAAATAAAAGTCGTTGCGAATGATGTATTATTCTTTTCTATATGACCAGAAATGAAGTTGTTTCCACTGTTGATAGGAAAATGCAAGTGTTCGCGCCCGCGCCTTCGCGCTATGCAGTGCGCGCTCCACACTCACTCACTCACACACACACACACACACACACACACACACACTTGTGATAATATTAGCCCTGTATTATTATTGTCTAACTTGTATTATGACTGACATTTGATGAATTGCTTTGTTCTTCTTTTTTTTTTTGGATAAAAGCGTCTTCTAAGTATGTAGCCTATGTAATAAAAATAATTATTATTATTATTATTTGCGTTTATAACTATAAATGAGTTCATTGAAGACAGTAATGTTTATTATAATGATCATATTGAAAGAATAATAATCCTCCTTTGTGTAACAAATGCATTTACTGTAATGCTAATTTTAAGAGCGTTACTGATATAATATGTATAAAAAGTTAATGTTATGAAAATCCAAACTACACAAATTATAGTAGTTCATGCCTTGTACATTATACACCGTCTGGTTCCTGCTGTATTTACATGTTGTAAATTGTGTTGTTTGCCTGTGCTAAACTCACCATCATGATGCTAGAGTTTTCGTGATGTTTTTTGTGTTGCTGTGCTTTTTATAATTTTTCCCGCTTTATACTGCTCGTATTTTAAACATATAGGCTATACACATAACTGAGGTAGAAAACTAATTCAGCTTTTAAAACCTACTGTTTGACTTTTTTTATTTTTTATTATGGAAAGACTATCTTAAGTAACAGCATTTCTTCTACAACAGACCTTTACTAAAATGTATTTTAAGCTGTTTGCATGCTTCTAGTGAACATTTATATTGTAAAACACCACAAAAAAACTTGAGCAGGGAAAAAATGCCCTGACCTGACATGCTTTCCTGAATGGGATGATGCTAATCATGTGAATTTACTGAACTCTGAACAGTTCAAAGGTGTAAAAGGCAATATAGACCAATATACTTTGGGTAAAAACCCCTGTTAATCCGCAGACAGTAGTTCACACAGAACCTGTAGCTCTGTTGACAATGATGAACAATTAAAACTTTGGTGATTTTTATTCTGATGGTTATTACTATTATTAATGCACATTTTTGAGAGTTCTGAGCTTTTTTATTTAAACCAGATAATTACTTAACTGAAAGAGAAACTTTGAAGACTGACTTGAAATGGCGTCTAGATCTTTTGCTGAGGAGGATTTATCTTGTCCGGTGTGCTGTTGCATTTTTATAAACCCTGTTCTTCTGTCGTGTAGCCACAGTTTTTGTTCAAGCTGTATTCAGAGGGTTTGGGAAAATAATACACTTAAAGAATGTCCGGTTTGCCGAAGAACATCTTCAAATGATCGTCCTCCGGTAAATTTGGCTTTGAAGAACTTGTGTGAGAGTTTTCAACAGGAGAGAAGAGAGAAATCTGGATCTGGAGTCTGTAGAGATCACAACGAGAAGCTCAAACTCTTCTGTCTGGATGATCAACAGCCCGTGTGTGTGGTGTGTCGAGACTCCAGAAAACACACCAACCACAGATTCTGTCCTGTAGATGAAGCTGTCGCGGATAAAAAGGTCAGATAAATGTTCAAAACATTTGATTAAATCGTCAAATAGCCTACCAATAATTATCAAAAACTATTTTCACATTGACAGAAATACACACAAAATAATTATTGGTGTGTGTGAGTTTATTAACATTCACAACATTTTGGAAAGATATATGAATGAGTAGTACAGTCTTAGAAGAAAATGTTTTAAAGGGGTCATATAATGCCATTTTTGTACAAGCTAATATGATTCTTTAGGGTCTAAATTAAAAGTTTGCAATATACTTTAATAAAAAATTCTCATTAGTATTGTAAGAAAACACTTATTTTACCTGGTCAAAAACAGCTCTGTTTTCAGCACGCCGTTTCAGTGCATATGCCTTTAAATGATCATGAGGTTTGCTGACTCCGCCCCTCTGTTCTGTGCGTACACCGTTTGTAACACAATAACCATAACGCGTTGTTCACTATAAACATGGGATTATGAATTATATTGAGAACATCATACATAGAAAACATGCCGTAATGTACCCTAAGTGTAAACCTTAGTCGCATTCATTGTGAAGTGTGCAGCTAGCGATTTGCATAGATTAATATAAATATTAATATAAAGTTTAATAAAACGTTACACTCACTTCAGTTCTTCTGGAGATTCAGCAGGAACACGAATATCTGGTACCGATCTTTTTTAATGAGCAGCTTCTAAGCAAATCCAGCTTTATACTGACCCTCGTTTATAAAGCAGTCTGGTGTGTGAAATGATTCGCACAAATATGAAAGCATTGACGTTGCTCGTGGGGAATATTCCCTTCGAAAACAAACTCAGCCACTGCGTCTTCAGCGGTTCGGATTCAGGAACATTAAAATGACTGCTGTGTTCGTTATTACACCCAAGAACAGAACACCACAATCGCTTAGACGCCATTCTGCTCATAGACAGTGCTCCAGCATATCAACAATGACCGCGCCGGTCCGCGTGGACTATGATTGACAGCTCTCACGAGCGAGGGCGGGTCTGTGTTGAAACGCTCCTGTCAATCAACAATCGTGGGAGGGGCGTCCGTTTTATTGACGTCACACGGTCGAACAGCTCAATTTGAGACGGGGAAAACACATAAGGAGATTAAAACAAAAACACTGGATGGATTTTTATCATTATATGATGGTTGTGTACACATTTCTGTACAATCAACTTGTAAAAGTGCACGTACCATTATATGACCCCTTTAAATACATAACAGGTTCGGTTAGGCGCTTTATTGAAACTTTTTGGCATAAAGTGTTCTTTAAAATGGAGTCAAGAACCCTAGTTCTATAGCCTATAGAAACACATTGAACCTTTTTTCTAAGAGTAAGAAATTAAGATGTGTTTTTTTATCTGTAAATTATCTGAGACCAAATAGCTGTTGATTTAGTAGCACACAAAACTAAAATTGTATAGCATTTTTCTTATTTCATTTTTTTCTGCTTTCTCTTTCCATCCTAAATCAAACGTTTTGACTTGTGAAAATGACACTCTTCTTTAATTTAGTGCATCATCAGTTTGCCCAGTTTCACAGATAAGGCTTAAGCTAGTCTAATAAATGTTTGAGCTGTTTTAACTGTAAGCAACTTGCACTGATATATCATAAAATATATCATGCCATTGTTTTGTCTCAAGATGCACATCAGTAATGTTTTTAAGGCACATTTATAAAAGCTACTAAAATTGTGTACTATGAAATTAATTGAACTGTACAGGCTTAATTCTGGCTTAATCAAGCACTGTCTGTGAAACCAGGCCATTAAGTTACAAAAACACTGGAGTTTGTGTGTATCAGTCAGCACAAATCCATTCCCTATGTCTGTGGAATATCAATAAAAAATATAAAAGAAGGGTTAGAAACTATGATGTTGTTCTCTTTCAGGAGAAACTCAGACGTTCACTGGAACTCTTGCAGGATAAACTGAGAATATTTGACAATTTTAAACAGAGTTTGGATCAAACTGCTCAACAAATTAAGGTATTGGAATAAACTGTGTGATTTAGTCAAATCTAGAAATGTGTACACTCATAAAAATAAAGGTTCTGTCATTGATAGTTTAAAATCCATGGATCCTTTCCATTCCAAAAATGGTTCTTTAGAAAAAGATTCTTATAATAGAAAATAATGGTTATTTTAAGAACTGATCACTGAAAAGTTCTTTAGGAACCAAAAATTTTTTTTTTTGTGGCATTACTGTGAAAACCCCTTTTTGGAGACTTTCTTTTTAAGAGTGTATATTGATATAGATCTAGTTTATCCTTTATATTGTTGTGTACAAATGTTTTTAATTTCAGATTCAGACTCAAGACGCAGAGACTCAAATGAATGAGGAGTTTAAGGAAATTCAAGAGATTTTACACAATGAAAAAACAGCCAGAATAACAGCGCTGAGAGAGGAAGAGGAGAAGAGGAGTCAGAGGATGAAGGAGAAGATTGAAGAGACGAACAAACAGATTTCATCTCTCACAATCACAATCAGAGACATCGAGGAGCAGATGAAGGCTGAAGATGCTTCATTCCTGCAGGTGTCAATTCATCTTCATTATTCTCCAATTATATGAATGTCAATTTCAGAGATTAAAACTCGATTTAGTTTTGCTAAATTATGTTTTTTTTTTTTTTTTATTACAGAACTTTAAGAGCACATTGCAAAGGTTTGTGTTTTTATTTCCATGATCTTCTCTGTTTCTGAATCAAACCAATATGTCTGACTCCTGACTGTTTTTCAAGAGCTAAGATTACACTGCCGGATCCACAAAAGATTACAGAGAAGATCAGTGTCCCGAAACACAACCTGAAGTTCACTGTGTTACAGAAGATGCAGGACAACATGAAAAGTGAGTGCATTACAACTCATCAATGATGTCTCTGGTTATTTGCCTTAAAGGTGCCCTAGAATGTTTTTTTTTTTTTTTTTTTATAATGTTTCCTGGGTTACCCTTATAATGTTAGTATGTTTTTTAGATAAAAAATAATCATAAATTTGAAATAAATGGCATTTTTCCTAGCCTGCTTTTAGCCTCTGATTTGAACACTCTGTTTGAAGGGGCGTGTCTGCTGTGGGATTCAGTGTAACCGCGGCCACTGTTGTGATTGGCTGTGGGATTCAGTGTAACCGCGGCCACTGTTGTGATTGGCTGTGGGATTCAGTGTAACCGCGGCCACTGCTGTGATTGGCTGTGGGATTCAGTGTAACCGCGGCCACTGTTGTGATTGGCTGTGGGATTCAGTGTAACCGCGGCCACTGTTGTGATTGGCTGTGGGATTCAGTGTAACCGTGGCCACTGCTGTGATTGGCTGACATGCTTGCATATTAAATAGCAACGCATTACATGTGAAACTCTCTCGAATACTTTTACTACTGCTATTATATGTTTTTACTATAACAGCTATCGAGATTAACGAATCGTGAGATGTTTTTAAAGTATTTAGATCTATTCCCATCACATAAAATGTTGCCGTGATGAGCATTGAGCAGATGACAGTGTGTTGATCGCGAGAATGAAGATCTTATCATTGCAAAGCAGTTTCTGCACTCTCTCTGCTTTCACCAATGCAAACACGATGATGTAAATACAGTAAGAGCTTCGTTGTGCAGTAACGTGCGTCATTGATTTCATAACGAGTTTGGCAAGTGTCCAGATAAACTCGCGCTGTGTGGAAAGATTGTTCTTTGATCGCTTTCTGTATATAATTTGTTCACAATTTAAATACGATTATTTTCATCCTATAAAAAGAAACGATGTGAAGCTGATATTTTAGTCACTGGCTTGACTTACTGATGCATAAACAGTATTGAACGATTTTGAGAGAAAGATTACCTGTCTGAACAATTACACATCAGAAAGTGTTGCTTGGTAGCTCGATCCGAGGCCAGCTCTGTATTGGCCCAAGTTGAGGAAACACTCTGTGAAATGTTTGGAAATTTCCAGAGAAAATAAAATTGACCCATTGTTTCTTCAGAGGCTCAGATGAAGGAACTAAAAAATACTTTTGTGTTCATGTGTACATCCACACTGAGCGACTGCCATGCTTCGGCTGCGCAGTTCCGCCTGGCATTGAGGGCTGGCATTATGCAAATATTTGGAGGCGCACATATTAATGATCCCGACTATTGCGTCACAGTCGGTATTGTGTGGAGAACCGACCGTTTTTCAGGGGTGTTTTTCATAAACGTGAATTAAATGAGAACGCGAAAACAGTCCAGTTTGAGATTCACTCTATGTCATGTCCATGCACTGAACTCTTGTTATTTGACTATACCAAGGTAAATTCAATTTTGAATTATAGGTCACCTTTAATGTGTGTGCATGAGTGTGTATCTGTCGTCTCTTTTCAGCCTCGCAGGACAATGTTGATCTCGGATTTGGTGCGATGGGACATCTGAGGACATATGTGTGTGCTTACTGTAGAAAAAAGTATAGTGAATGCCAACCGGTATAACCAGGGGAGGTTCACATGCAAATAATATATTCTCCAACTCGATGAACTAAATGGAATCAATCTACTGTACCTGCTCCCACACACAGCATACACTCAGTAAATTAATCAGGGGACTTGTTACCATAACTTACATAAATGCATAGTTGCAAGGTAAAAATGAGAATTTCACTGATTTAAAGCTGCAGTCCGTAACTTTTTTGGGTTAAAAATGATCCAAAATAAATTTTTGAGCAAGTACACAACCAGCCAGTGTTCAAAACGCTCTGCTTGCCGTAGCTCGATTCAAGCGGTAAGCTTGTGTGTTTTTAACTCCAGTGGTACTGGTTGATTTCTGCAGGAGATTTGAGCATGTCTTTGCGTCATTACGTCACATCTGTACACACACATCTGTACACACAAACATCTGTACACATAAAGAAGAGTCTCGGCTAGTAGACTATATTGCGTGTGAGGATGTTGGAGGTGGAGATTTATAGCCTTTTCTCACAGCACTTGATATAATTAAACTTAATAATTTGATGGCGGATCCAGAAATGTTCAAACGACAATCACCAGTGACAACTAGAGACTCATCCGCTGTAAAATACAAAAGACTTCAGAGTGGCTACAGAAATAAAGAGACTGTAACCGGCTCATGCGAAAACAAGGATAAACATCGGAAGGGCTTTTGAAAGGTGGCGTGAACTCCGTGTTTTGAAGCGGTTCAAAACGGACACAGAGACGGCTTTTTTCTGCTGGACAAATAAGACATAAGCGATCGTTAGATTTAATCAGCGTGATTTTCTGCAATTAAATTCCCCTTAGTTGGTCAGAACGAAAGATGTTCAGATGTTACTTGTGTAGCGACTACGAGAATGAACCAAACACAATTGAAGCTTTAGATGATTGTTAATACATAATCAAACACATGGCTTCACATTCCAGAGTACCCCAGGCTCTGCAACCAAAAGACTTTTTATTGTTTAACCCTCTGGGGTCCAAGGTGTTTTTGGGGTCCTTGAGATGTTTTGACATACTCTGACATTTGTGCTTTTTTCAGTTGCTTATAAACATATTACTGGCAAAGGTGTAATTACACTCTATTTAGCACACACAGGGCTACCATAATGTGTTATCAACATGTATGTACATTTTTGTATTTTTGAGAGAATATTGTTTATGCGTGGTTATTGAAAAAACTAAAACTTAAAGTTTCTGAAATAAGGCCACAAAACACATACTAAATATGTGTCCACAAGACTTTTGACTAGTGGATGTTGTCGCCTAGAGTTTTTTCTTCAAAATGATCTGAAAATCATCCTGCCTTATCATTCACATAAAACAATAGATTGGTTTAAATTTAAAAATGACACTTTTTGTTTGGAAAGGCAATATGCGCAGGGGTGTGACCTGCTGTGATTCACACCTGAGAAGACAATGGGCCCGCATAATGAGCGCATAATGGGGCTGCATACTAATGACCCTTTCATTCAGGTGTGTCACTGAGCCACAAGAATGACAAATATATATATATATATATATATATATATATATATATATATATATGCCTATATAATACAAAATTGGTTCACAGTTCCAATTATTTATTTATTTTTCAAATTGTGCTTGCAAATTGTATAATATCAAATGTAAAAATTTCTAGTAATTGTGCAGTTAATTATCATACTGTTTTTACAGAAAGTTTGGGAATATATCCCAAATGTGTCACTAATAAAACACAATACAAATAATTTAAAGAGGAGGCTTATATTGAGCTTTTAAGATTTACCTAAGATTTATTTATATGTAGCCTACATATATTTTTGCTATTTTAATAAAAAGGTTACAATTACAACAACAATTAAAATTTTTACTATATTTCAAATGTAATCTTTCTTTGTATATACTAAAGTATACATTTTATCATACATATTTCACAGTTGCGGATTAATTAGTTTGAATATAGCCTACAATCGAACAAACACTATAATAACATCTTAGCAAACAAGCTTATTTGATGTGGCAGTATTTTACAGTGAAAACGACATCTTGTCTTTCATATGTAACATATCGTTTTTATGATTAGGACATATAAATGTTAATTTGCAGTTTAATACGTTGCTTATACAAAAATATTTTATTTCAACATATTTCAGTCGATTTTTACTCATCTCAGTATTGGAATATAGTTAGGTAAAAGCTGTTCATTCATTCACACACAAAAACGCGATTCAAACAGTCTTTTTGTTTACAGACACTATTCCATATCGCGATTAGCACAAAGCACTTGAAAATAAAGAATGTACCTATTCCTCAGCTGGATCCGTTGCTCCTCCAAATGAAACTACCTGTACGTCTGAGGTAATTTTTTCCAGGATTATTATTAAGATAGTATTACTATTATTCCTCACAGCATCGTAATATGAGTCTCTTTCGGTGGGTTATCCAGCTGATGTGGGCGTGGATCGCCTCAGAGCATTTGTGTTTGAATAGAGCGCGCGCTCCGTGGGCGTGGTCAAATTAACTTTAATGAGCTGAGACGAGAACGACTATCATCTCTCTCTTTTCGTACAGATTACATAAAATGAGAAAATTTGTTTTTTTATATAAATTACTTCATTTAAAAGAAGATAATTCAGGCTTCATGCCTGTGTGCCTGTATACCTGTTTGACTGAGTATTTGCAGAGTTACAGTTCATTTTTCGGACGCGTTTCAGAATGGACTTCACTGACAGAGAGAACGCAGAATGCGCACCATGTTTATTTTTCTTTATTAGGCGAAAAGCACAACACTTTGTTTTTATTATGAGGTTCCACAAAAAAAATACAAACTTAACAGGATCGAATGATGTACAACACTTATATGTAAGATCAAAATCAACAGAGTAATTTGAGTCTCTTTTGCACTGATAAGGAAAAAAGTGAGCTGGTATCGCCGGTGAGACCGCCGACCCCAGAGGGTTAACTAAAGGAAGAACGTTGTCAACGTTTTATAATTTGGCAAGAACAGATCTGTTTAGAAATGGTGAAACAAGAAGCCCTAACAAGAGGTCACCTGACCCCTGCGACTAACAGACGACGTCTTTCGGACCAGAGGTCCCATGAGAGATGGACAAAACAGACTTCAGCAAGAACTATACATGACCTCAGACTGGAATGGCTTAAACCCCACAAACTTTACACGCTAAAACACTTTACATATCAAAATCCATAAAACTCTTCCCAGAACAATTCTCGATGGACTTATAATCAAACATCATGCAACTACATAACTCTGTTGTTTCTACAATATATTTGTGTGTCTCATATGCTTAGATGCCCTACAATTCATAATTGTTATAAATATTAGGTGTGTGAATGAAAGTGTGCCGTGTTTCCTGTCAGCAGGATCGTATTTTTAATTCAAAAAGATGGTTTGATTTGAAATCTGTGTAAAATGTTTTGTATTCTTATAATAGTAATAATGTCTAAACTGTGGCCTATTGTTCTCTCTGCTGGTGCTGGAGAACAAGGAGATCACAGATAACGCATGATTTACGATAAGAAGAAAATAGGGCCACCTCCTGAATTAAGCCAGTGTCCAATTGGCTAGAACGTATCCTAGAGGTGGGACAAATTTTGAGTTTAAAATCTTAGACCCAAACAGAGCAAAGAAAATTATGCAGCCGACAGAGTTAATAGACAGACAAGTAACCATGTAGACGAACGAAGACAAAGAACCCAAATTAAGATCAGAAGAACATGGGTTAAACAACAGCTTCATTCAAGCCATCTAACTCATCACACTTTCCTTTCTTTTCCTTAGTTTTCTTTTCTTTTCCGTTAAAAGTCTCGGTTCTAAGTTAAGTTTTGCTGCAAAGTTTTGTTTTAAAACGTTTCGACTGCAACGCGCTTCCAACTTCAAAGACTTTCATCCATCCGCCAACACGCCACGTGATTGGCTGCCCAAGATCTAGCAGGCACGAGGAGACCGCCAGCCAAGCAACGGACCCGGGAAAAACTCTTTACACCGACAAAAAGGAGAATCCCCAAAGCAACGCAAGGACAAGCAAGTAGCCTCCAGACTCTTAACTGAACTGGTGCATTGATATAAAATTGAACTACCCGCCTAAGAAACGATAAAAGGGTGAAATTAATTATTGATGGTTCGTTCAGGTTGTGTCTCATAAGTGCATAGAATCTTGAGATCTCACCATCTGACTCCTAAAACCCATTCTTCCTCACTCTCTTTTTTTTCTGCAACTCGTATGAATGTGTTTGTGTGTGTTAGATATTAGTTTTATGTGTTAGTCATAGGTTAGATATTAGTTTTATGTGTTAGTCATAGGCTTATAATCAATAAAGTATTGTTTGTATTTGAAAAGAGAAGTATTACTTGTGTTATGTGTTTACGAATGTATTGTCTTGAACTGCGATCTAATGGTGCTTTTCCACCACACAGTACCAGCTCGCCTCGGCTCGGCTCGGCTCGACTCGACTCGCCTTTGTTTGGTTTTCCACTGTGTAAAAGTTGTACCTGTACCTGCTTTCGGGTACTTTTTTTCGTACCACCTCCGGCGAGGTTCTAAGCGAGCTGAGGCGAGCTAAGCCGATACTAAAATGTGACGTGAAACAATGCCGACTGCTGATTGGTCACAGAGAATCTGCGTCATCATTGCACGCGCCAGATGGAGTATCCAGAATAACCCCGCCATTTTTAAATAGTTTGGCCAGAGATAGTTACTAAACTTACTTACTAGTATTATGGCAACTCGGAAGAATACGCCGTGGTCAAACGAGGAGGTGCAGACATTCCTTTGTTTGGTTGCCGAAGAGAGGATCCAGCGAGAGCTTGATGGGGCAACGAGGAACGAAATGCGTCGCTATGACGACCGGGTACTATTTGTGGCGGTACTTTCTGCAATGGAAAACGGAGCGAAAAGCGAGCCGAGTCGAGGCGAGCCAAGGCGAGTCGAGTCGAGTCGAGCTGGTACTGGTAATGGAAAAGCGCCATAAGTTACCTATGCTTTTACCCTTGAATTATTTCTAAATTTAGCTGTTAGCTGGGCATTAGTCTTTCTTGGCCAGGAAGATATTATATTTCCTAGAATTAATCATTGTTTATGCTTT